TCCCAGCACTCAGGACGATGAGGCAGGGAGATGGTAAATTGAAAGCTAGCAGGAGCTATATAGCAAGTTGTAGAGCAGCCTGTGCTACACAGTGAGAACTTGACTCAAACTCTCCCATTTCTGCCCTTCCCCCTTACCACAAATCCATTCTTCTTATTGGATATCGAGCAAACCCATGATATGTTGTCTTTAGTGACCTTTTAATGGTATAAATATTTCAAGCATGTTAAATGCACCCCCTCCCCCAGATAAGGTCTTGCTCTGGCTGGCCTGGAACTCTCCATGTAAGCAAGGATAGTGTCTTAAATGCTTTCTTACTTCCTGGCAGTTCCCTAACATTGACCCTCAAGTTCATTACCAGCTACAACAATAGAGGCTACATCCCATAACTGTCTCGCCACCCTTTAGAAGGAGCAGAATCAGACCATGCCACTTTTCAAATGATCCCAATCGCTCAAAGTAAAGACATGCTGAAATAGAAACACTGGAAAATCTAGTGGATTTTTTTTATACTCATCAAAAGCAGAATATAGTTCAGCTCCAATTAAATCATCTCATTCATCTAGCTTTTATGCCCGAACTAATCAACGTCTTTTTCTTCTTTTCTGGTTAAACTTGCTGTTTGACTACTTAATGGTAGACTTAGAAATAAATACAAGGGGGGCTGAGAGATGGCTCAACAGTTAAGAGCACTGACTGTTCTTCCAGAGGAGCTGGGTTCAATTCCCAGCACCCACATGGCATCTCACAAGTGCTTGGAACTCCAGTTCCACAGGGTCTGACCCTCACACCAATAACTTAAAATAAATTATAACAAATAAATATATTAATATAAATATATATTATTCTCAATTTTAAGTAGAAATTACCCATCTAGTATGCTAGAAATGGCATTTCAGCATTATTTTCTTTAGAGTTATAAGAACTAAGAATTTACATAAAAATCCTTCAAACTTCACATTGCCTTCTTATGCAATGAAGTTGACCCATGAAATGTGGCATCATTAGTTCATGTGTTTACTTTGCTAAAAGCTTTTTTATTCATTCTCTAAGAACATTTTAGTTGCAAATAAGTACAAAATTATCAATTATCTTAGTCACAAATGCTATGTTTTCCTATGTTTCTGTCGTCCACAAATTGGATAAATAAGTTCAACTCTCCCTTCAGAGCAAAAGAAAGGTTCATTCTAAAATATTTTACAAATATCCAAAATTTTACTAGGCGTAATTTATAAAAGTGAAAAAATCTGGCTTGATGATGGCTTAATCAGTACATTTTCTAAAGGACCTGAGTTCAACCTCCAGAACCCACATTTTTAAAAAAAGCTTGGTGACACATACTTGTGGTTCCAGCACTGGGCAGGTGGAGACAGTGGGTCCCTGGGGCCCTGTCTCTAAAGAGGTGGATGGTTCCTGAGGTTAACACTCAGAGTTGTCCCATGGTCTTCAGGCACACCTGTTCACATACATGTCCCCTTACATATACATGTTCCTGCACACACATAAATATACCCACATGCATTTCAAAAAAGAAAGTGAGCTCTTTAGTTCTAAGTGCTGATTCTGTCTGTTTGTTTATTTATATTCTTTCTCTTTTTCCCCTCTAGTAAGCAACTGAATTTAGAAAATATAGGCACTCTACTAAAGGAATTTAAGGCTTTTCTTAGCATCTCGTGGCCTTAAACTATGTAGTAAAAGCTGTCCTTGAATTCCTGATCCTCCAACTTCTGCATCTCAAATTTTGGGTTACAAGCAGGTACCACCAAATTTCACACACTTAAAGAAAGTTTGATAATTTAATTATGTTAAGTACTTATGTATTCATGGGGAGAACATCTTAACATCATTTTTAAACGGAAGTAGTTCATGGATAACTTGTATCTCTTGCAATGAGAAAAAGCTTTTAAGGAAATACATCATCACCCAGAATGCAGTGAGCTGATGGTCAATTCCATTCTAATTAGTATACTTTTAAAGGAAATAGTGTTCAATAGATGGCCCAAGCAGATTGGCTGAGCGCTTCTTCCTGGTCATGCAGGATAGCAGTATCTGTAAGAGGCATCTGAAATGTGAGGCTCCGGACAACCCAGTCAAGGGAGTGATGGTGTACTCATATAATCCCAGTATTCAGGAGGCAGAAGCAGGAGTTCAAGGTCATCTTTGCCAGAACAGTCAGGCTAAGTCCATCCTAGGAAACCATGTCTCAAGACCAAATCACATTGTTACCTGCTCAGGCTCTGAATACCAGTTTCCCACTCACAGAAGACATGGTGATATTTGTCTTGTAAGATTGTTAACATGAACAAGTTCAAAGCATACATGAGAAGCATTTAACTAGAAACTGCCACACAAAATTCATAAAGCCAAACATGGTGGTCCATGCTTGTTCCAGCACTTGCAAGGCTGAGGCAGGAGAATTACTATAACTTTTGGACCATCTTGGGCTCAGACTGAGACCCATTATCAAGAAATATAAAATGAAATAAAATCAAGCCTGTAATCCCACTACTCAAAAGTTAGAGGCAGGTAGATCTCTGTGAATTCAAGACTGGTCAGATATACATAGTAGATTCTAGGCCATCCAGGGTGATAAAATTGAGACAGGATCTCTCACTAAAAAATAGTTGAATAAAAAACAAAAACAGATTTGAAGGGCTGCTAAGATGGCTCAGAAGGCAAAGGTGCTTGTCACCAAAGCTAACAACCTGAGTTCAGTACCCAGTACACACAGCAATTCTCACAAGTTGTTCTTTGACCCCCCTCCATATGAAAGCTGTGGCAATGCACAAATAATAAAGAAATAAATGTCATAAAAATAAACTTCAAAATGTATAAGAAGCTCAAAGATACCAGTAAGAGATTCCACAACCTGTAGTTTAATATCTATTTTGTCCTCCTCTTCTTCTTCCTTTTCACATATGTATGTACTTTTAGAAAAGCCTCCATTAGGTGGTAAGCTCCCTGAACCCATTGTGAGCACATCACAGCTTTTTCCTGTGTTGCTCTTTAGGTTACACTTAATGGATACTCAAAAGGCTTTGTTGACAGATCTTCTCCATTGGTCCTCGATGCCAATTGGGGAGTGAATAATAGCCACTGTCAAAAGTCTCCTTTCGCTTAGTCTAAATATAAAACCTTCTGCTACAACCTATGCCCGCGTTCATATTCTATCCCCAAAGCTCCTGGAGAATAGGCAGTTTAGCATCCCCTCCCCTTTAACACTGCTCCCAAACCATCCAGTTGCAAGACAGCGCCCTTGCTCTCAATCAAAATCTGACCCACTTCTGATCCTACAGCAAGTAGCATTTTCCACATCCTTAGTTGCAGAAAGAAAGGAGGTGCACCCTCTGGCTCCCTAGAGATTCCTAGAGCTAAGGAGTTCCCAAGGAAGCGCAATCGTTCCTGGCCAAGGGAGAGGGAAACAGTATCAACATGAGGCTGCCAACGGAAAGTGGACGATGAGGATGAAGAATACAAGAGAAAAGACACTTGACTCACAAGAAAGTAAAAAAGTAGCGAATGCCCGAGGTGGTGTTACTTCAGAAAACTGAGAAGGTGACCCACCCGCTGCTGGTCCACCTCCATGCTGTAACAAGCTGTAACAAAGCCTCCTGATTAACAGGCAAGTTGGCGTCATCTCGGAATAAATTCTTTTAGAAGCTTACAGAATAATGCGGAAGAGATGGTTACTAATTAGGCGCCCTCTTCCCATTCTGTAAGGTGGCTACAGGATCTGCCCTGTGTGCAGGGTAGTTTTATAACCTTGTCGTGAGTTTTTTAATCGTCGGGCCAAGTGAAGATTCACCTTTTAGGTTTAGAGACGGATATTTCTAGCTTGGGCATTTGGGGTCGTCTTTACCGGTATGTTGTGGCTTTCATTAAACAGCCTAGGAAAGCTCTGGCGGTCCTCCAGCCCTGGCAGCACCGCCGCCTGTGGAGAGCGCCTCACCGCAGGGCCGGGTCAGGGCCTCTCACTGGTTCCTTCTTCCATCCCGGAACCCTGGATTTCACCTACTTTCCCTGAGTCCCAGGAAAAAGCACCCCGACTTCTAACTTCTCAATTCCTGTGTCTAAAGTGACCCCCGCGTGCCTCTCTCAGGGATCTAAACGCGCACACACCCTGCGCCTTTGGGTCCTACAGGAGCAGTCTCCGAGCCGCGTGGCTTCCGCACCAGTAGCGAGAAATTTCCAACCTGCGTGGACAATCGTCTCTCAGCTGGACCTTATACACGCACCTAGACGCTGGGGCGCGATCCCTCTCGCTGTATGCCCCAAACCTCAAAAACAAACTCATTAAGAAGCGTCTCTACCACACATGCATCCTCACACTGAAGCAGCGAGGCTGCCCAGGGCCATCGCTGCTCTGGGCAGAATCTTAGCCAACTTGGACCCGGATCCATCTCTCCAGCTCGTGGACCACCTCCCGCAGCATCCGCCCGGCCCCCGCCCCCTCCCCTTCCTAGGCAGCCAGAGCTAAACCTCGG